ACTGCAAGGTCCACGAAACGTTGGCACATCAAGAATGGACCAAGACATGGAAAAAACCCGCGAAGCACAGATTAGTTATATAGAAAGCACCCATGGAAGCATCAAGAAGATTCAAATATCAATTTAAAAAAAACTTCATTTTCCTCTTTAAAATACATTTTTGAAAGCTTTACAATTATTTTTACTTAAGCTTTTGTAAAGTACAAAAGAATTGTAAGCGTTCCTGAATTTATGAACAGTAGTATCTGTTAATTAATCTATTGATTGATATCAATTATAGTGTAGTAAAGAAAAAATGAAAGATAAAAGGGGAACGATCGCTTCTCTTTCTTTACTACGAATTTACGGAGAATTGTCTTTCTTTACTACGCCACTGCTTTGATAAGTTACGTTAAAAAATTTGAATCCTCCAAGGATCTCAAAGGATTAAAAATCGCATATAAATGTAGTTTACAACTTTCGAAAGATTGAATGTTTATTTTTAATTTATGTACTTGTTAATTGTTATAAAATTTTTTTTATCGATTTGTTTAACTTATAAGGATGCATCAGGATACAATATTTGGGAAATATTCAGTATCTGATATTATCAAGTAATTTTCGATACAAAGTAAATCACTTTTTTACTCCGGTCAGATAGCCGGACATCATCAGTATCCGGCTATATACAGGGTGGACCATTTTAATTTATCCAATTAATAAATAATAAGGCTCTATACGTATAAAACAATGTAGTACAGAAGAAGGGCAAAGAGCCAGTATAAAAGAACTTTAATTTAAATTAGTATTAAAAATTCATATAACAATTACAATTAACAACAAACGTTTCAATTCTAATCGAATCATTTTCAATGTCTTAATATATGAACATCGTTCTAAATCAAAAATATGTACATAGTATTACAATATTATTATAATTTTTAATATCATATTTTTCATTTCGTGTAGTACGCTACGAGTCATTTTTATCAAGAATCAAAGTAGTTATAAGAAAATTCTGGAAAAGTAACCGTCAACAAAAAGAATTAATATTAACTACATAAAAATTAGTAATATAATAATGTACCTTGTCAGTGATATCAGTAAATGTGTTAAGAGTCCATTAATAAAAAGAGAAAAAAATGCAGGTAGATTGTGATCCATTTTGTGGTACAATATATTAGTTTTTTTATTCTATAAATTATTTTAAGCAAATTTGCAAACGAACATCTAACTTTCATGATGTCAGATAACGAGATGTCAAGAAGAAAAACATTTATCGGCAAAATAATGGGAAAAAGGAAAAAAGATATTAGGAAGGAGAAAGAGAATATATAATGTTAGAATTCAATTCAGGCAAAGACTCTGTGTCATTTTGTCTGTTTATTCCATGTTTCAGATATCAATCTTTTATTATATGAAGTATAATAAAAGATCTCTATATCTAATATGCCCACTTTATCCTATTTAAAGTTATGATTCTCTTCAACGGTTGGAAATCACTGATGGAGATTTTGAACTTATATTGATATTTGAAACATGTTCATGCAATCTTTAATTGTCTTTTTGTCTGGCCAACGTAATTAACATCACAATCTTCACAAGATATTCTGTACTACATTTTGATTATGAAAGTGTTCCAACTCATTTCCTCTCTTTATGAAATTTCTTAATGTGTTAGGAATGGTAAAAGCCAATTTACAATTAAACATATTAACAAGGTGTAAATCTTTCAGATATTGTATTGACATATGGAATCATAAAAAATTTTTTTGTGTCATCCTTATTATTCAAACTATTAATATTGTTAATATGATATTTAATTCTATCATGAATAGTCGAGAAAATAAAACGTAAAGAATATCTGTAAAAAAATATTAATGGCATCAATCAAATTATTTTGTTGGAATTTCGCATGATACAAGCAAAAAATCTTATCCACAACTCCATAAATTATACCTCTTTTATGACAAAGTGGTGTGAATAAAAATTAAGAAATCTACTGGAAAAGATTGCTTTACGGTATATATCAAAAATAAGATTCTGTTCTTCAATAATCAACATGGTATCCAAAAAATTTATTTTTCCATCAATGTCAACTTCCATAGTGAACTGCAGTCTAGTGTGCAACGAATTAAAAATATCCAAAATATCATCAATACTCTCAGATGGAGCAGCCAAGATAATATCGTCAACATATATAATAATTAATTTTTTTTTATTAATTTATCCAGTCGATTTTCTCAAAATCTGTAAGTTTAAGGCAAAAATGTTTCAGACAAAAGTTTTATAGTTTTAAGGAGAAAAGAAATTGGTGATCTTGGTTTTTGAGAAGATATCCTTAAGATTAGGTCAAGGTTACCTAAAACTTTTTTTAATGGAACTCGTCATTTTTTACATATTCTTATAACTGACTTCAAGACCTTTTCAAAACACTACAATAATGTTATTTTTTGTTAAATATTTTCCAAGTTACGAGGCTTCAAAGTTACATTTGCATTATCCAAGGTGTTAGACTGGCTAAAACCTTTGGAATGTTGTTCAGAGTCATAACCTTGACAACTTACAAGTTAATTTATTCAGTCAATTTTCTCGAAAGCTAAAGGAGATAGGAAAAAACATTTCAAAAGTTTCACAATTTCGAAAAATGAAATACTGTTGTCAGCTCAATCGTAGATGGCACCACTTCTGAGATTTCTTTGTTATAGTCATTTTTTGGAAATGGAAGTTGATTTTTTCTTCCAGTAAAAGCTGTCAAAAAGACGAATGCAATGTTTTTTGAGATTTTCAATTCGCTTAATTTTTGACCGAGTTACAGAACTCCAAAAACTTTGGAGCTCTGTAACATCAATAAGAGGGATTAACATTTGATTAACGTGAGTTCCCTTGCCTCTCACGATTCGGAATGCTTGATTAACGCGAACCCTCTTGCCTCTCCCTCTACGTTGATCTCGCGAACATAACGATTGATCGAATACGAATCTTGTCATATTTTATCGGATTCTATAAAATTTGTACAAGATTCCTATAAAATCTGATTCAAATTAGTGAATTTACGATCAGATTCCATATTCAAAACAATAAGATTTTTCTTTATCAACTTTTTTTTATCAACCAAAGCGATATTTTGCCTCTCGCACCGTTCTGCGAAACCAGATATGTAGCTAATGCTGGGTCTATCTTATATGTCAATGGGCGTATTCAGTGGACTCAACAATTGAGAGAGCGCTTGCTATTATTGATGTATTCTTTTAGATCGTCCAATCAGAATTTGAGGTCTAGAAGACTACATCAATAACAGCGAGCGCTCACTCAACTGTTGAATCTGCTGAACGTAGCCTATAATAAAGATGTCAAACTTTAAAACACTTTTTAAATCATATCATTATGATCATTTTTTACGAAGTTACTTTCTCTTAAAAACTGCCTTTTTTGGAGAACAGAATAGATGATCTCTTAACTTTTTGATATAGTGTATATTCAAATATACTCCTTTGTGTATATTCAAATATATTGCAATGTTCTTGCAAATGTTGCTGCAATATTACTGCAATCACAAAAATATATTTAATTCCTTTACAATATTTGTACAATGTTGCATCCCAGATAATTTTACGAAATATTCATTTCATAAAATTTCCTAAAATCTCAAAACAATATTCCAAAAGTATTCCAGAATATTCTGAAATATTTACAGAATGTAAAAGCAACATTCAAATAATCGTTAAATATTCTATTCATACATTGCGTTACATATTCGGATAGTGTTCCGTATATTTTCCGCAAAATTATAATTTTTTTAGAAATTCTAAGTCCGAAAGTCCTTAAACTAATTTTTAAACGAATTATACTATCAAAAACATTTTCTTTACTTTTATCTTGAAGTCCAATTTTGGAAGCTCACAAACGAAACGCTGCGCTCTTTACATTGGGCGCGTTCAAACCGAGCAAAGTTGCTAGCTGCTAGTCTGCTTGCCGAGCAATTGAATGTGATTGGTTGGATTTATAAGTAACAACCAATTCATATTTATTTGCTCAGCAAGCAAATCTGATCGCTTTGTCGATTTGAACACGCGTATTCTTTCCCATACGATTCTTATTTACGAGTTAATGCATCTTTGCCGCAACCCTTTATTGGCGAAGATGCATATCGCGGGTGAGTTTATGATATATATAAGGTTTTTATAATATATATATAAGAAGTATACAAACAATATTCTGAACATTTTATTAATATTTGAACATTCTATGATAATCTTTTGTTATGTCGGAATATACGATACATACAAATTAAAAAATACAAATCAAACTTTTTATGAATAATTAACATTAGCTGGAGCATGATTACGATAACTATGACCCCTCAAAATGAAAGTAATTTTCGGAAACATTTTTAGCGAAGAATACGAGAAAAATAGTAAAAAAATTCTTCAACCAATAGATACCAAAATAACTAACAATTACAAAAAAATCATCGCTTCACATGGAAAGTCGTGCACCCCGTAGCAGAAGAGGAGGGGAAGGGAGGTGAAATGAGAGTCGCTTCGCGTGGAAAATCGTGCTTTCTGTAACAGAGGGAGATGAAGTGAGTCTTAACATCTTGGGTACGTTCCGATATTTACTATCAGTGCCAAAAATCTATAGCACACGTAACATATACTGTATAGTTTTAGCACTGGCAGTGAATATCGGAACGTACCTCTTGTCAAAGTCAATGTCCTGAATAACCTTCAGAACATTTTAGACAATCATTGTTTATTAAAAAGTTATTATCAAATTGATCATAAAATTAAATTATAATTATTAAATTAAATATTGATTATAGATTTTTTTTACTATTTTTTTCCGTATTCCGTACTAAAAGTGCTTTCAAAAATAATTTTGTTTTGAGGGGCCACAGTTATTGTAATCGTCCTTTAGCTGGAATTATAAGTTGGAGAAAGAATTGTAAATATTGCTGCAATATTTTGAAATTGAACTGAAAGATGCTGAACATTAAGATATTTTTACGATGTTCACAGAAAAGTGACCGTCATTGATTATCAAGGAACTTGCAGTCCTCAAGAATCTCATCAATCATCAGCGCCGCGAACTCTGTCTGATTCTATCATAATGACAGCGGTGACATTTGGCAACTTTCTTTGGACTTTGACTTTGAGTTTTAATATTCAAGACTTATGGCAGACGACATTGGCATTTGCTAACGACGTAATGAATGGTAATATTTAAAAAATGTGTTTACATTCATACAATAAACAAAACGGTTTAAAAGTGTACCAATTATCTTGATAAATATGTAGCAAGAGTATATACATTCTGTCTTATTCGTGCAAATCACGAAATATTAAAAACGGTGTTTGTTCTGGTGAAAATTTTTCTTACAATTCTTCATATAATTTTGCAGAATCTTTATATAAATTTCAGAATTGTTCACAATTTCTACGTAATTTTATAGTTTTTTGGAAACTTTCATTTTTTATACGAATTGATACTATAATTTTTAAAGGAAAATTTATAAAATCTGAAGTTTTAAGTATTTTTTTTAATCTATAAATATAAAAAGAATCTTAAAAACACTACCAGAATGTTTTTCACTAGGATGTATAAATAATTTATGTTTTCAATCAAGAAAAAAGAGTTACTATATTCCTTTTTATAATAACAATTTGATAAAGACGTAGCAATTTTTTATGAATAACGATAATTAACTAAACGTTGAAATTAAGATTGAAAAAGTCACTTTGGAAGATAATTTGCATCATTATGCGTTTACTTACTAAAAAAAGTAATTTGTAACAAGTAACGTTATCTCATTATTACAAGTTAGGACTAAAAAGTCACGAGTTACAAATGCCAAGTTAATTTTTTCAATAACAAGTGACTTTTCCAACTTGTTATAAGTAATGATTGAATGTGTGTGTGACTTTTCAATCCTGATGTTACCATTACAGTTATAAAAAAAATCGTCATTGCCAAATCGTTATTATAAATTATAATATAAAAATAATGAAAATATAAGAATAATGATAAGAAAAGTAACGATGTTATAAGTTACTTTCATGTCTTGCTTTCAACAGTATATTGTTTAGATAGGGGAGCACAAGTTCTCAAATTATTCTTTAAGTGCTTTTTTTTTTAATGTATAATTCCTTAGGAATTCATAGAAAAATACAACAAGTGTGCCTTAAAAAATTACGTGCATATTGTTTAGAATTCGAGCGCGAGCAAGCAGACGCATACTGGTTTATCGTGCCAGAGGTTCCGGGTTCAATCCTGGTAGGAAAATATATTTACGCTCGTGTCTCCTCTCGGAAAAGACCAGCAATTATTACTATTAAATAATTCTCCACGTGTCTAGCAATTGCTGGACGACTGCATCTAGCCATGCGCTTAGGAAGGGTTCCGATAGCACACATCGCTAATTGATCGATTTAAATAAAATATTCTCATTGGTAAAGCAGTGAAAAGTAACTAGCCGATGTGAGTGGATGTGTGCTATCACACTATGTGCTAATGAGACCCTCCCTTGAAAAATTGTAGAAAATTTTTCGACTCAGTTTAGTCTGCTCTATCTACATATGAAAATAGTCCCAAATATAATCTTTGGAAATTCATGAAAAAATTTTTGAGAATAAAAAGAAGTGTCGAACAATCATTATAGGAAACCTAGAGAATCAAGCATGATGTAGCATAGCAAGATGTAGATTGAGCAGGCATTATATGTGTTATATATTTGCTATGCATTTGCTGACAAACTAGAATACGTTACGAATGCAGCAACATGATTATGCATGTAATCAGTTAATGAAACGAGATTTTAAAAGCAAATTGTCAGCAATATCAGTACGTTGTTAGTAACATGTCAACATGATAGCTACGAATAATTTTGTTGTTCCATCTAAAGCATAATAATGAAAACATATAACGATATATTAACATGAAAACTTCCATCCATTATTGAATATGTCTTTAGGTTTAACGTGGCTTGTTGCTCTAACAAAATGTTGACATTAAATGATCATATGTTTATGACAGTTATTTTCATTAAATCACACATCACGAGCAATGCCTAGCACTACCAGTAGGCAAATGCAGTAGAATTCTATTTCTTGTAAGTAAAATATCATATAGATGTTTACTATGAAATATTTCATGTTCTAATGAAACGATAATGAAATGATGTTTTAAAGGCGAGGCTCTGAAATAAAGCATTTTTTAACAGTTCTTAGTTCTTACACCTTGCTGACGACAATTCGATGCCCTTCTTTTTGTTCTTAAAAACTTTTTTTTATGAATTCCCAAAATATACATTCACTATTTGACGTATATTGTTGTCACAATATTATATATTAGTTATTAATATACTGTGGATGACACACCAATGATAACAAATTATCTGCAAGTTGCCATCAATTTGTAGTGTCAATATATGTGTAATTACAGATAACAAACTAACAACACAAATGATTGTAAAAAGTTGTTATATTATACGAATCATCTTTTTGCAAGTAGAAAATTTATGCTGATACGTTGCAGTCATATGTATTAGAATGATATAGGAATAGAATTGATATAGGATTAGACAATACGCACATGCACATATAAACTGTTGTTGACAGATTCTTAAAAAAGATATAACAGAAGATTCAATATTTAATTTTGTATAACAGAATCTTTAAGTAAAACTAATTAAATGACAGACCGGCAGATATGTTCGGTTTCTATTAACAATCTGCTGTCAGATAAGATTTTGCTTCATTTTTATTGATAGTCCAGCATCACATTAAGTTAGCAAAGTCTGCTTGATTTCTGCCGACAATTTGCTATCAGATTATGTTGGTTATGAATGCGAGTCTAACTGTGGACACACAGTTGATAGTTTGATCGAATTTAATGATAGTCTGTTAGCAAATTCAATCTAACAATAATTATGTTAAAGTTATGTTTCAACGATTCGATTTTATTTGAGTTAAATTTTATCAATTCGGTTCGATTCAGATTCAAAAAAATTAAGAACTGAAATTCGATTCAATTCGGCAAAAATAAAGACATCCAGCATGGACTGCGTTATTCGTATCTAAATAGTATATCAAATATGATCAATAAAAATAAGAGAAAGAGAGAGAACGTGGAGACGGCCAACTCTGATAATAATTACCGTTAGAAACAGTCAGAAATAGATAGACTTCTAATGGGTTTTAATAGACTTCTATCCGCTATAACTGCAAGCTTAATTGAAAAGAAGATTTAACTCCTATCCGTTTCAGTAAATAATTATTATATCTGCAGACAGAAAATGTAATGATAACTGTATCTAATGAAGCTCTATTTATTGATGTATCAGCATTTATAAGCTTTTACAATAGAAAAACTTGCCTGTTCTATCTGCAATCTGTATGCATCGAATGCTAACAATATCTAATATCCGCAATTATGGATATCATATATTTATCTACATCTGTATGCAATATCTATATACAATTATCTATAGGAATTTTGCAACTACGAATATGATTCCTGTTTGTTTCTATCTGAATTGAAATTGGAAAAAGCACTGGAACGGTTTTTTCCAATCAAAACCACTGGACAATTTTCTCAGTGCATATCTTTATTTACTCGAGTAAGTATTAAGGATTACAAGAAATATATTTATTTTTTTCAGACGACTTAATATTCACCGATGATGAGGAGACACATGAATTCGAATCGTTGACGCCTGCCGACTCGACAGATGAAGTAACATCGGATGAGAATAACGTATATGTGAGATTTCCAGTAATCGCGCCAGCGACACCAGTTTCGCCGCCAACTACACGGGCCACTTCCGCTCATTATCCAAGAAAATTACGTGCTTGCGAAAAGAAAACGGATTTGTATATTCTACAACCCGAGCGCCTCAACACCAGCGGCCAAAGCAATCCTCTGAAAGGAAAGCTCACCAATTGCCACGTAACAGGATGCGAAAGGTGATTTATAGCAATTGTTACTGAATCGCGTAAAATTAAGTAAAAGGATTGGAAAATTAAGTTCACGTAATTGAATAAAGCCGAAATAAAGAAATTTTTTAAGTATATCAAATTAAATTGGTAAATCAAATTAAATTGGATTATGCACATGCGTACCCAGTGAATATCATTCCGTAACATTTACGTAGTCATTATGGAACGATGTTACACTATTCTGTAATAGTTATATCATTTTCAGATTATGATTTGGTCAAAATGTTAAAATATTTTGATCATATTTCGCGCAGCGAAACATACATGTAATACATGTATACATGTATACATGTATACATTTACATAAAAATAACGCAACATTATCATAGTTATATTTATGAAATTTTCAGAAAATGAAAATTTATGTTATTTATTTATTCAAGTTACGTAAATATTACGTAACTATGCAACTAAACAGTGACAGCACAGGCATACATAACAATTACAGTCTTTCACGTCAATGATATACTTGCTATGTCATGTTTGGTTCGTTGCGCTGGTCTGTAACATTTACGTACAGTATGTTATATAAATGTTTCAAAATTACGCACAGTGTGTTCACTGGATATAAACTAATTTAAATTATATCAAAAGATATACATATGTCACATTTCGGAGAATATTTGATAAATTATAACTCTTTGAAGATGAATAATACATATTTAGATCATCCTCTTTTATTTTTTAAACGATTTCGTAAGCAAAATATTGACAAAATGTCGGTAGACTGGGAGCAGATTTAATAAAAATGTCAGCAGACTAGAGTGTGTCCGCAGCTTATAGTCTATTAGAAAAAAATTGTAAGTAGGCATTTCTTTTCATGAAATGATTCGAAAGGCTATTAATAGCGGAGTTCCGTAACTTATGCAATCATTATGTGTTTGTAACGACAGTTGGGCAGATATTATATATAGAAATTCAAAATGGCGGATCCGAATGTTACTTTTTGCATTTTGGTCCTTCTTAATGGATCCACCATTTTGAATTTCTATGTTTTAAGTTTTTCAGATTCGGTATCAGCGACTTCTAGAAAGCCTAAGATACTTTTTTAATACAAATCTGTCTACTTTCCAGATTCAATCCGATTTGAATCCGCCATTTTACATTTCAGAAAACGTTCATAACTCGATGAAAAAAAATCGCACAGTAAAAAATAAAAAGTTTGTTTTAAAGATGAAGATTCGCTCTTTAGAGTGGATTAATGAAATTGAAAAATAAAATTTCGTTTAGCCATAAAAATATAGTAAATATGATAAAAAATACTGTCTTTTGGCTCATATTACTCGATTTATCTCAAAAATCTGACTTGATGGGCATCTTTCGCTGACAGATTTGGATTGAGCGATTTTGAATCTATTAAAAAATGCGGATCGTGGTCGCCGTAGGAAGAAAAAATCAAATTTTGTCGGACAGTGTAATTTATTGAGAACAAGCACATAAATAGTATCCACAATTTATTATACTAATATTGCATATTATTCGGAATCGCTGTATAATAACAATTTATTTCAGTCGCATTTGTTACCAAAATAATAATTGAACCTCCTTAAGGAGAGTTCTTTATATCCAAGAAATTATTATCATTATTTTTTCCTTGTTTTCTTTTTTTCTTCTTTTTAAATAAAATGGATATATTATCCCGGATATTTGAAAAATATTCTGTATCTGGCCAGATAATTGCCCTACTGGATATTCGATTGGATATTAGATATCTGGTGTCAAGTTTTTTCCGGATATAAAAATTGTGTCCATAAAAAAATTTTACGATCGAATACATCTCTAAAATAAGTCGCTACTTTTTAAAAATGATGCTATTAAATTGATCACCAATATCTAAAAAATTTATATTGTCCATAAAATTGAAGCCAATCTCAAAATTCCAAAATTTAAAATTATATTTATAATTTGCCATTTATATTCATGCAGCAAAAGTATTTCAGAACTATTTCCAAGATATTTTATTGTAAGATTTAAAATATATTTAAAATATTTTTCATAAAATATTTCTGAAATGTAAATATGTCCAAGAAATCAAAGTTCTTGAAATATTCTTGTTTTTATAATATTATATTTCTAAAATATTTTTGCGAAATATTTTAATGTAATATTTTCAAACGTTCTACAAATTTTTACAAAATATTTCTGAAATGTTTTATTGAAATATTTCAAAAAATTATTCAGATCAATAAATGTTCCTTGTTGTGTAAGTAGTTAATCAAATATGAAAAGAGCTAAGAAAAGAGATATTTTGTCAAGTGTCTGCAATAGGGGAAACCGGAGCACTATGGGTCTCAGAGTACCATGGGTCATCGATTGTTTGACATAATCTAGAATGTTTAAATTAATATTACTGCGACTGTTACTTCACTGCCCATACTTTTTATCTAGGTAGCAGTGATTAAATTCCATTGTATTGAAAAGCATTGATCATTAATAGTTTTCGTGATATAATAATAACTTTTTAATCACATAAAAATGTTTTAATATTGTTTTTGTAATAGAAGATAAGATGCAAGTTTCTGCGCATCTTTTCTCAACTTATTACAAGTAATGATCTAACATTTATTTTTTATATTTAATTTTCTATTAAATGTATAATTAAATGCATAATTGAAGTGCTATGGGTCATATATTAAATATTCATGATGAAATAGAACAATACTGAAAGTATATATACTAAAAGAGCAGTTTATACTTCTAAGCAATTAATTTTATTTTATCGTAATCAATTTTTATTTTGTATTAATGGTTATTTCTCATTTATTTTTTTATAACTTTCTATTTTATTATTTAATAATTATTAGTTGTAATTATATTTTATTATATTAATAACTATGCTAAGAATGTATAAGTTAATTGAAAATACTTTTCAATTTTTGCCACCGTTATTTCTTGCATAATTCTACTGTTTTGTGTGACTTATGGTACCTCGGGTACCATGGGACACCATGGACCATTTCTTTAAAAATATATTTTTTTTCTTAAGAACTAATAAATATTTATTAATAATAAATATTTATTAAATATATTTATTAAATTTTAAAATATGCATTATGCTTTAATTATTCAAAAAAAAGATACAAAAATTTTTATATTTAGATGCATTTTTAAGAATTTAAATTTTTGCGACTCATATTTGCCCCAGTCTTCCATATATATTTCTTTAACAAAAAAATAACGGAGGATGTTAAAAAAAATGCCAATTTTTGAGTGACCAAAATCTGACCTCTAAAAAGTTATAATTTATCGGAAAAGTTAAAATCAGTATACAAAATATTAAGGGGGTCCTAAAGATGATTAGTCACATTATAAATAATACTTACACACAGATTATTTACATGTCATTGATACATCACTACATCAATATCTCACTCACGCATGCCACACATACGCATTTTTCGTATAACAATTATGTTTAAATTAGACGTCTAGGTCCAAGAAACTGTGCTGTTTCTTCATCCAAACTACTAGTCTATGGACTACTATTTCGTAAGTAACAGATGCATAGCTATCATATGAAACAAATGTCACGACGTGACAGTTGTAATGTTGGACTAAGAAATGGTAAAGAAGCTTAATTTAAAAATTTTTTGTCATTCTCAGCATAGACTCCACTTCACAGACACATATTAATGCGTAATACTTTAATCCTGGAAAAGGACAAATCAATAAGAGAAAAAAGTAATTATTATAAAATTATGTGTATTATTACAAATTATGTGGTTTAGCTGATAATACAGACGACTTTAAGATCCCCTTAAATATATAAGTATACAAGAAGCTATTCTTTCAAAGTCGATTCGACTAATAATTTCCGGCTAACAATATAAAGTGAAGCAGAGAACATATAATGTAATCCATAATGAATGCTATTTAATTTTTACAAGGTTCAATTTAAAATAAAAAAAAAACATTTTTTCTTAATTGTGCAATAAGTGTTCAAAATGTCTTCGTTACACCTATGGTGTATTAATTTTTTCCTTTTTCCTTTTATTTTTCTTTACGATGCAGACCGTTTAGCGTCCAAAAGATCCGTCACACCAATCTGATATTGCTGGTGGTCGACACGTTGTGCCCATGCGGCAGTAAACAACTAAGCATTGAACCCATCGAGGCATTAACCGAACCCGGGGCATGTACGGCAAGGAGAGAACGTCTGTATCGACGAAGACCACCAAAATGTATAAACTATCACCCTGAAGAGATGGAGATCAAATTTTGCGGTAGCGCCAGCCGTTTTTTTAACTACTCGTTGAATTTTATGTTTCTCTTATTCGTTATTACAGTGCGGCTTGCGTGACTTTGTCGGGATTAATTAATCGCGCGTATCCGACGTGCGTACAGACAAACACACATACATAACATACACACATGTTACAAATTACATTTTTAAAATGGATTTAGCGTTGTCGTTTCTATGGAACAGTTATAAAGAAGAAAAAAAACAATGTACTAAGTTTACAGATTGTCACTTGACACAAGAATGGTAAAATATATGTATATTATACATACAAATGATGCATAGTGTGTAACGATATGTGTGTGTGTGTGTGTGTGTGTGTGCGCGCGCGCGCGCGTGTAAACACACACACACACACAATATACAGAGTGTTTCCAAAAAATGACAAATTTAAATAGATAAATCAAATCAAGTTATAAAGTTATATTTGTTAAGTAACTCATGTTCTATAGCATCTCCTTAAGCATTAAACATTTACAGCTTAACTTTCTTGAATGCTATTTAATTTCTACAAGGTTCAATTAAAATGAAAAGAAAAACGTTTTTCTTAATTGTGCAATAAGTGTTAAAAATGTCTTTGTTACATTTATGGTGCATTAATTGATGCATTCTCTGAAAAATTCTAGAAGCGTTATCCCAGTGAGAAATTACAAGTCGAAAAGATGACTATTAGATGTTTTAAGTCAGATCTACATAGCACTCAGAATTCGAGTCGCAAACTTGCTGCATCAGCCAATCCGATGCATCAATTTTAAAAGTGACGCTTCGAGATTGGTTGACGCAATAAGCTTGCGACCTGCAACTTATGTTCTGCATCTTATGTAGATTGGGCTTTATAACACTATGTGACCGTGAAAATTTTTCAAAGTCACGTGGATTCGATTGTGTAAGAGACACGAACCTTTCTATTATTTCCCTAAGAGATTTAGTGAAGTTAGTTCTCATAAGAATGAAGTGTCGATTTAAAGTTGTAAATTTTGATTTACAACTTTACATGTAGCACGATTTCTATGATTCTAAGACCAAATATGATCACAAGTACATACATGCACATGCGTGCATATACATCGCGCGCACAAATACAATTTTTAAATGAATTCTTTATTAAACAAATTAAATAAATTACATTAATATTTTTTAAAATTTATTTAACAATTGAGCAACAAAAATCAGAAATCATCGCCAGAAGAGATTTTTTTTATGTCGTTTGTTTTGTATGATTTGTTCATGAAGTATTTATCTGAGGCAAGTTGCTTTTCAAAAAATTCAAGATAACGATATAATACATGGATTTTCAATAACATATTAACGCGATATTCCCAAAAGTAGTCATCATATTATTTATTATATATGTATAATATGCGGTTTTCAGCTCAATAGTTTCCGTAAAACTTTGAAATCATGTCTTCATGTAATTTATTTGTTAAACTATATTTATACACAGTTTTTGTTAAATTATATTTATGCACAGTTATAACAATTTATATACAATTTGTTATAAATATACAACTTTACAAATACTTTCTGAAGATGTCAAAATATATGTAAAAATTGTTGAATAATTTTTATACATTTATAAAAGTGTATAAAAAAGTGTATAAAAATGTAATAAGGATACAAAAAACTGAAGTGTGGTTAACATTAAGGGTTAAATCGATGCTTCATTCTTATAAGATCTAACTTTGCCAAGTCCCTTGGAAAAATAATAAGGGATTGTATCCCTAATATAATCAAGTCCGTAAACATAATTTTCGGAAAATTTTGTCAGTTGAAATTAGGCACATAACGTATGTTATCTATATGTATGATATTAATAATTTTAATCACTTTTAGGGAGAAGTGATAGAAACATGAAGTTTCTACGAGACATGAATTGGAATAACGAAACGTAAAAGAGGCATCTCTTAAATTCTTTTACATATCGCTGTACTTTTACACTTCTTAGAATTTTTGTTTACGTCACTTTTTCCTTACATTCGACTTATATTTCGATTTTTATTTTTATGAGGACAATTGGTTAGTACTGGCAAATTAATTTTGAAAACTTAATTGGATGTTCTCTTTGGCGCCATCCTGGTTAATGAGCATCCTTGTACGATGCACAATTTGCATCTAGTTGTGGCGAACTTGGGACGACTTATAGAAATTATTAAAAATAACTCAAATTGAATATAATTTGACATAATAAATTTAATAGCGTAGAATATGTATAAATTTATCCTGAAATGTTATTACATACCTTAAATTCTAACTCGAAAGCATTTTTCTTCTTAGTGTTCACATATCGGTCTAATAGCATTATTGTTTATTATTTTTATTAATATTTTAAAAAATATTGAAATTTTTTTAGATTGATTTTATTTCAGCATTAAAAAGATAATGGAAAAGTAATGAATCGTTACTTTTTAAATAACGATAACGAGTTACTTTTGAGAATCAAAAAAGTAACGGTAACTAGTTACTTTTAAAAAATAACTTTCCATTCCTTGGAAATAACAAATTAAAAGACGACTATTAAATACGGTATCGCCAATATATATAAATGCGGCAAAATTCTATCTTTCGTAAATAAAAAACTATACAGGATAGAATAAAAGGCTCTTTCAAAGTATTAAAATTTTTCACTTATGTTACCGACGAGATACTATTAAAAACGGTCAGCGCTTATGGAAGTTTGCGTGCTGGATTGTTCTACCTTTCGATAAACTTCGTCTCACTGTCTTACTCTCTTACTCTATTATGTTCTTACTCTTTTACTTTTTTGTTTATCCAATAAGTAAATTACCACACATCTAAATATAAAACAACAACCGGTCCTAATGCCTGTATCAGACTCGGACGATAACATTAAAATCAGTTTTAAATAAAAATCGAGTATTATTAAAATTTAAATATATATACAGTCTACTAAACTAATAAATCACAAAATTAGTACTATATTATCAGTTTCTTATTCTTAGGGGAGTATCAGACTACGGATTGACGATTGTCCGGTTCTACTTCAATCACGATATAGCGAGTCCATCGTAATTGGCTGAAATAGAACCGGGCAACCATCAATCGTAATCGTCAACTCATAGTCTGATACTCTCCTAAGAATAAGAAACTGATAATATGGTACTAATTTTGTGATTTATTAGTTTAGTAGACTATATATATATAAATATATATATATATATTTTTTTTAAATTTTAATAATACTCGATTTTTATTAAAAATTTTAATGTTAATGTTTGATTAAAATTTATGATTTTAATGTTATCGTCTGAGTTTGATTATCAATAAAGTTAATAATTGCAGAGAAAAATTGTAATTTTTTGGCAATATATAAGATATTATAGCATTAAAAGTATACGTATTTATTTATATAGCATTTATATCATAAAAAAACCACGAATTTAATAATAAATTATCAAAATATTTATATTAATAATCATAAATTTTTATTAATTGTCGATAACGTCATCGTTCTTCAATTATCCCTGGGCCCTATTCCTGGGCCCTCATTGATAATCACGAAAATTTGCCCAGAGCCGACGGTCTTTAATAGTATCTCGGTGCTCATGTGCATCCATAATGAAATAATTCTTTGAAGGCGAATCCCCAAAATAAGACTTCGTGATGAAAGTAAGTAAGATATATTTTTTTTCACAATACTTTCGTTTCATTTTGTTTAAAGATTAAGGTAAAATGAAACAAATATATTTATATATAT